CGCGGCGCGCACTCGTCGCAAACGGATACCTACAGCTCGCGCAAGCCGCGACGATCGCGTTGCGCTACTCTGTCGTGCGTGAACAGGGGGTGCTACCCTTCACATCCGGGGCTGACACAGTAGAAGTGCCACTACTTGCGTTCCGTGCGCAGCATCAACGCCTGCTCACGCTCATGGCACGTAGCTTTGCCCTCCTGTTCGTGGCGCGCGACGTCGGTGCGGCGTACGACTCGTTAATGAGCCAAATCCACTACCCCAATGGAACGTTAGCTGGCGTGCACGCGGCTCTCGCGGGGCTGAAAGCATACGCGACGCAGACGGTCGCAGACGGGGTGGAGGATGCGCGGAGGTGCTGCGGTGGCCACGGATATCTCGCAATGGCGGGGTTTGCGCATCTGGTAGCGACGGCTACTGTGATGGCGACGGTGGAGGGGAAAACACTGTCATGTACCAGCAAACGGCGCGCTTTCTCATCAAGTCTCTGGAAGGCAAGAAGGATGCTGATGCAAGCGTAGCCTATTTACGTGACGGCCTCGACGGAGGGTTACTGGCCCTCGACGCGGACGTGCTGGATCCGGAGGTGCAGCTAGGAATTTTCCGCCATCGAGCGGCGTCTTTGGTACAAAATACGCCGAAGCGTTGCGCATGTCTCAGACGCGCGACAAGCTCAGCGCCGCGCAGGCATGGAACACACATATGATGGGCCTCATCTCTGCGGCACGCGCGCACATCGAGTATGTCGTGCTCTGCTCTTTCGTCAAGGCTGTTCGCCTAGTCGGAACCGGCCCACGCAAACCGTTTTGCAGCGGCTCTGTAGTCTGTCTGCACTCACCTGCATCGACGGGCCGCACGGACAAGGTTTTCTCGAGGACGGGCACCTCACCGCCGCGCACCTCGGGCACATCCGTACCGCCGTGGATGCGCTGCTGGATGGACTCCTCCCCGACGCTATTGCTCTGGCTGACGCATGGAATTTTTCGGATGCGAGTCTCGAGTCTGCGCTGGGGTGCCGCGACGGAAATGTGTACGAGCGAATGATGCAATGGACGCGCCAGGTGCCGCTGAACGTCGCGGCAGCGAAAACCGGAGGTGTTTTCCGCCTTGGATTTGAGGAGTATATTCGCCCGATTCTGAAGGGGAAGTTGTGATTTTGAATTAGACATTTTAACACCCGCCGGGAGATCGTTTAATGTTGTATTAATGCTGACGCGGTTGTGTTCCGTGGGTTCGATTCCCAGCATCCGAATGGTCCAGAATCTAATGTATCTTTCTTTTCTTTTCTTACCATATTTATTCTGCTCCATGATGTTCCCCATTTTTTTCCTTTGCATCCTACTAAAAGTGTTGAAAGAGGATGCACATCGGGTTGAGCTTTTCAAGTTCATGTTCCATATAGTAATCTCACCTACCAATCCAGCTCCCGAATCCAATGAATACATCGGATATGGTGCATGGTACACGCACTCATACAATAGCAGTATCATAACTCAAAGGGTGTACTACGTTCAACTCCCAGCATTCAAATGAAAAAGAATCCTCAGGCTTGCGTCGACATTCCTCGTGCTTCTTCAAGTTTATATCCTATATGATTACTAGTATCCCATAAATCCTCCGAAATGAGCGTGAGCATGTAACGAGGGAATCTATGGAAAGCCAGAGCACCACGCTTTTGAAATAAATGATGGAATCAGTGATAGGATGATTGCCGCCAAGGTGCCGCGGTGACGGTTGAGCAAAAAATGAATGTGTCTGGTTCAATTGCACTTTCTATAAGCTAAGGGCGAATTTCAGAGATTTGAATGAATATTCTTTCGTCATCACTGTGCCTGCAAGTGTGGAAAAGAGCGAATTTCAGTCAATGTGACCAGGTTGCGACTGTGCAACAGTTCTATCCTACGCTGTCCAGACTGTGGGAGGTGAGGAAGGCAGTGGACCCGGCGGAATTATGGAGATGTACTCGAGCTTTGCTCTCATAAGGACTCTGAACTTTCCACGGATCAAGTGACAAGTCAGATTTGTGGCAGTCAAACTATAGTGTATCTTGCATTGGATTTCAATTCAATGTTGTCCTCAAATTATTACTGAATGTGAAGCAAACGGTACAAATATGTCTTTCAACATCAGGTACTTTTTCAAGGCCGTTTTACCCACGCTATTATAATCGGATCTCCGCAGTGAATTAGACACATTGCGTGTGAGAAGAAACGACGGTTGCCGACTTCATCTCCCCTTTGACTAAAAATCGGACCCCCGACAAAATATTGTATGACGCGGACAGCGGAGAACACGGCAGCACGACTTCTCGTGAGACTCAGTTCTTCTGAAATGTGTACATGCGCACCAATGGTAAATTGACTTTTTCGTGCCTTTGTTGATCGTGAATAATCGCATTCTGCGGAATTGAATGGCGCCTCCATGCGTTGATGTTGGAATCACTTCAGTCTTGCCCAGACAAAAATCAATTGAATTTCGCACGCATATCAGAAGCTGCCAGTCATTGCCCGAGGATGCGGGAAACGTTACTAACCGATGCAGATAAAAGCTTCTACAATCCACCAGGCCGTCGCGCCTCTCCCAATGACTCCCGTCACTATTATTTGTGCCCTGCTCGCGATCTTTACGTGTACGTATCCTTCGACGTCGCTTATCCTCTACTTTGGACAACATACCTGGCCCTCCACCGACATCCTTTCTTACCGGTGCGACACCTGTTTTTGAATGTGTAACTCATATCTTGTATTCACAACCCCCTCGCCAGGCAATCTCACTGAATATCATGATCCGACGGCTGGGAATTCCAGCGGAAGTTGGAACAGAATTATGGACGTGTTGTCAGATTCCAAGGACTTCTCGGTGTAAGGAAGTGGTGTTGTCTATCGCTGCACTCCTGAAGGTTTTTCAGGCTCGTTCGTTGTTCGTGTTCGATCCGACCGCAATGCAGAGCATCCTCGTCAAGGATCAAAATATCTATGAAGAGCATAAAGACTCGATTGCGTCCGTCATATTCTCCTCATTCACCGTATCCTCCTGACTGCGTACCTCAGGATGAACTCGCTTGTTTTCGGCCCAGGCATACTCTCCACGAGGGCGACCACACCGGAAATTTCGCAAAATTATGATCCCCGCATTCTCCACCGCGAATCTCCGAAGAATGGTTCCATGTTCTATGAAGTCGTACAGAGGGTAAGATCAAGAACTAGTTCCGCATAGCTATTGCATCTCAATCTTCCGGCAGGCTCGAGATGGTCTTATTCAACCCTTCATTCGTGACGGCCCCCAGGAGGCAAGTGTTGCTCTGCGTTGGCATTGAGAACCAGGCTGATCATCCGAGTCGGAGTAGCTCGACCTCAACAACATTCTTTGTCGCACATCTTTGGAGCTGATCGGCCAACGGGGATTGGTTACTCGTTTGATCCCATGCTCCCCGGGAAAGAGCACCGACCAATATGCGCGGGCCTTGAAGGGAACTGTCAAGCAGTATGCTTCTTTGGATTCGAATAGTCTAATTTATTTTGCATCCCAGTCCCGCGGTTTACAAACTCGGATATGGCTACCCGTCCTCCCTGCCATTGCCAAAATACCCCCGGTCCTTCCTCCGCTTCATGATAAGTATACTCCCGGTCCCAGCGCTGCGCGAAATCCGCGACATCGCGATTTTATGAGTGCTACTGCCTTGAACCTCGTCAAGAGCGCAAGGAAGCGATCAGGAACGGTACTCTAGAGGTCAAAGACGACGCGAAGGACATAATGAGCCTCTTGAGTGTGTTATCTGACGTTCACCTCTCCGTGACTTCTTTCATTTAGTGAAGAGCAATATGTCTAGCGAGGAGGGTTGCGCTCACCGACGAAGAGCTCGTTGCTTCCACCTCGTAAGTACCGAACGTTACGGAATCCTCCTGCTGATTTTGCGAACAGAATTATTATCTTCGCCGCAACAGACACAACCTCTTCTTCGTTGAACCGGCTCCTCCACATAATGCACAAAATCCGGACATACAAGACAAGCTTCGGGCGGAAATTCTCGCCTACCCGGAAACCATGGATCATGACACGATTGTGGGACTACCCTATCTCGATGCCGTTATCCGTGAAACAATGCGACTGTGAGTCTCTTGTCGTGTAATTCGCGCATGTTCTCAACGTGATACCCGGCAGATATCCGCCTGTTACCCAGCGGTAATCCGCCAGTAAGTCTTGGTTCAGTGATCCGTCGAATCTTCTAACAAGGACTCCAGACCCTTGGAAGACACCGTTTTGCCCCTCACACACCGGTCACTGGGTTGGACGGTACAATTATGGACACGATCAACGTCCCCAAAGGAACCCTATGCTACATCGCTATTGGGGCATCGAACCACGACAAGCAGGTCTGGGGCGAAGACGCGCTGGAGTTCAGACCCGAGCGATGGGTGAACGGTAAAGCGGAGTCCGTCACCACGAAGCTCTGCGGGGTCTACGGAACACCATGACTTTCATTGGTGGAGGCAGGAGTTGCATGTGCGTCTCATGTACTCCTTGCCGATCTTGAACACGAACTAACTATTTTGTTTTTCCACAGTGGCTTCAAATTCTCGCAACTAGAGATGAGCGAGTGGAATAGTCACCTTTTATTTAACTGGACTGATAGAGTTCTTAATTCTAGAGGTCGTACTCTGCGTCCTGCTGCGCGCCTTCAAGTTCTCCCAGCCGGACCCGCGCATCAAATGGCTCAAGGGTGATCCTATTCAAGCTCCGCACGTTGACAACGAACCGCGGCTTCCCATCGTTGTGGAACGCCTCAAGATTTAAGGTACACTGGTGCGAGGGCCTTTAGTGGATCCTGGGGTGCTTATTGGGTTGGTGTACGCTCGACGCTTGATCTAAACGTAAAGACAATTTTGTACTACTCAAATGTGATCTCGTGCTGCCTCTGAGCTCCTCGGCACAATATTTTTCAAGTTCATGTTCCAAATAACAATCCCACCTACCTACCAATCCAACTCACAAAGCCAACGAATAAATCGGACGTGGTGCAAGGTGCATATCCGCTCGCAATAGCCTCTTCGAACCGGAACCCTGTGGCGAGAGCTCCGGGTTCGACTCCCGGCGTCTGAGTGAGTAAATCCTTCGTTTTCTATTTTCCTTTTCTTGCCGGCCGTTTTTTCTCTCTCCAATAATATTCCCCAGCCCTTGTCGTCCTAATAGTGCCAATCAAAATTCAAGTCTAAGAGGATGCATGAGCACTTCGCGGTTCGACCAAGTGTTCATTGCCAATTGGGTCGCGCAGCTAACACTGGCACATGTTGAAATCTGACCTACCAATCCAACTACTGAAGCCAATGCATGACCCGGACGTCGTGCATGGCGCACACCCGCTCACGATTAATATTTCTTGTCAGGAAGACACAATTTCGTGGCAGGAGAACTGGGTTCGACTCCCAGCGTCCGAATTCTGTATACTTACCTGTGGTATCCTATTTTTCTTGCTGGCCTTTTTCTCTTCCAATAATATTCCCAGCTCTTGTCGTCCTAATCGTGCCAATCAAAATTCAAGTCTAAGAGGATGCATGCGCACCTCGCGGTTCACCAAGTGCTTATAGGGCCGCGCAGCTAATTCATGTCGAAAACTCAGCTGCTAAGACAACTACTGAACCTGGTATACAAATCGGATATGGTGTACGGTGCACGCCCCATAAGATGGGCGATAATGTGTAGTCTAGCGGAAAGCCTGGGTTCGATTCCCATGATCCGAATGCTTCTTTGTTTCCCTTATCTTTTTCTTATCTTTTTCTTCTTTTTTCTTCTTTTTGCTGTCGACTGCTCCAAGAAGTGTGTCCTTAGCCGGCGTCCTAAGCGATATGCAGTTCAGTATTATTATCAGTAAGCGGACACATCAGGTTTTAAGTCCCTTTGGTCCTGCACCAAATTCGTGTTCAGGAAAATCAAGTCCCACTCAATCCAAATCCCAAAGCGGGTGAATAAGTCGGGTGTGGTGCATGGTCGCCCCCATAAAATGGTGAGATTGCAACAACCGTGTTTCAGCGGGAAGTCTAGGTTCGACTCCCAGCGTCCGAATTCGTGGCTTTCGTGGAATTTTTCTCACTTTTTTTCGGCCCATTAGCCCGAGATTCCACATTTGATCATTGACAAGAGTCGCGGAGCCAAAGCAAAGAACAAACACCAAAGAAAGTCCATTCGGTGTTCGGTGTTCCAAGAAATACAACTCGCATTATACTGTACAGATAATATAAGTACGATACACGCGTATGACACATGCGACATCTGCACCCCTACGTCTACGCCGACCCGCCCCCGCCCTCGCCCTCGTCCTCCGACCCAGCACCACTGCTGGCATCGTTATCGCCCTCCTCGCCTGCGTCGTGTGGGCTCCCTCCCTTGCCCTTCCACGCGCACGTCTATACCCCCACCGTGTCCCGAGGAAGGAGCGTCGAAATCTCCCGTGGGCAGGTCAGGACGAACTCAAGGTGGTGCTCCCTTGCCCTTCCATGCGCGGGGAGAATCCCTCGTGGGTAGGTTATCATTATCCCTAGGGCTGCCGCCCGTGCCCGTGGCCACGGTTCGACGGCACCCGTCGCACGGGTGCCGTGCCCGTTCCGTCGGTCATTTTTTCGGACCTTCCACGGCACGGGTACGGCACGGCTGTTCACCACCACGGCCCGTTGAAACACGGCCGTGACGGCCGTTGAACGGGAAGTTTTCAAATGCATCTGAAGGGTCTGATCTTAATCATTGAGGCTCTCTAATACTCTTAGGTGCTCATGAAATCCTTCTCCGACAGTAATTTACTATGTCTTTGCGGTAAAACTGCAAGTTACAGCCAAGTTGCGCTGATGCCGGCACATGCCGGGTATGATACCCGAGTTTCAACATGGTTTCCTCCACAATTTTGTCCTGTGTTTTATGTATTCCTCACATTGTATTCAGATTTCAGATTCCACAATTAATTTTCGAGTCCTTGGAACTTCACTTTGGGGCCATTGGGAAGACCAGGAGGTGCAGAATCTCCTGTGAGTGAACAGACATTGTTAATAGCTTCACCAACCAGGCTGCAAAGGCTGAATAGAGTTTATACACACCTCATAGGGGTCATAGAATTATGCTCTGATGAAATACAGACCTCTGGCAAAATATTACAGGGCCGTGGACCCGTCACGGCCGTGCCGTTGACCGTGCCGTCCCGTCAAGATTTTTTTGAACCACTCGACGGGCCGTTTTGAGACGGCCCGTGCCGTCAAAACCCCGTCGTTTCCACGGCCGTGCCCGTCACGGGCACGGGTGGCAGCCCTAAATAATTTATCCCCCACCCTCGACGAAGCGAGGGCGGAACACTGAAACTTTGTTATCTACCTTGCGAGTATGGTATCATTTGAAAGCCCTGCTTAGCCGCTTTCGAACGCGCCTGGAATTATGTAAATCGGTTTGAAATCGGTCCAGAAATGAGTGAGAAACGAGCACGGCAGTCGGATCAAATGTGTTCTTCTTTTCTCTATTTTTAAAAATTTTAGCGACTGTCATCAATTTTGCACACAGCTGTAATTGGGCTCCTTTGGTGCCAAAAAAATGCCATTTCGGTCGTCGATGCTGCAAAAACAGGGCTGGGGGAGAAAAATCGCCATTTTGGGTTTGTGGGAACCCAAATTTACCCATTTTGACAACCTCGGATAGGTCCGTGTCGGCCAAAAATCACCAAAATTTCGACAAAACTGTCGGCCAAAAATTGGGGGATTCGAGATTTTCGGGACCTGGCCTCCAAAGGGATAATCTCAGGTCCTGATGCCCTCCCGCAATCTTTCGAGATCGTCAAAGGATCGTCAATTCGTGCCTCCCCGGCTCTCGGACCGCCGCGCGTGGGAGAACCAACAGCTAGACTTAGCAAGGGAGGAACAGGAGAGCGGAAAACGAACAAGAATGAATCATTGGCTCCAGGACTTTGCGTTTGGGGGGAGCAGAAAAAAAGCCTCGTCTTCCCGAGTTCGCGTGATTACTCTCCTGAAAGCGTTTCATTCTGCTGTGCTGGCGTGAGCCTGACATCCAGTTCCTCTTCGTGAGTGCCCAGGATTCACAGTGACAACTCAGATGCCCCTAACCCCTCCGCTACCCAGATTTTCGCGCACTTGCAAGCCGACCTCGTGCTGCTTCGAGATGATTTTTTAAACTCAAATGAAGAGGCACATTTCGGAACTGGACTGCCGCGCTTAGACTCCATACCGTTCGCTAACTTTTTCACCACATGATAGCTCACAGACAGACAGTTTTGCGGGTCCCAAAATTCGCATGCGAAGTCACTCAAATCTTCGACGCTGCTCCCATGCATATCCCCCTCTTCCCCTTCTCTAAATACTATGTTCCTAATGTTATCCCAGCATGCACGAGCCTCTTGTATCTTCGGGCTATTCGTGATGTGTACGAGGAGGTAAAAAAATACAAATTAATAAGGCCCTCCTAGACTTACCCTCTGGCAAGGTCCCCATACAGAGCTGGGCAGACGACATCTGTCTAGTGACCTACACAATCTCTGTATAACTCCATATAGTTTGGTATAGCTGTGTGTAGCTGTGCGTAGGTCTGCCAAGTATGTATATGTCAGGTTAGCTTCCTAGACAGATGTCACCTTCCCCGAATACAGCCATCTGTCGCACATGGAATGTTTGATTGAATAAACACAAAATTAACCCCAGTGTAGGTGATTAGAGATGAGTTTAGGTACCTACACTGATCTAGACAGACCTACACTGGCCTACACAGGGTCAGCTTAGGTGACCTATACACATCTGGTTGGAGACTACACGCACCTTGCCACAATTGTGGTCTAGTGGTCCTACACAGGGCCTGTTTAGCTGCCTACACATAGCTGGCCAGACCTACACGCACCTTTACAGACTAAGGTTAGGAGGGCCTTGAACGCAGTGACAGTAGAGTCAACCAGTTGGACCATGCTGTGTATAATACATCACTATCAGTATCACGTCTGGGTAATGGCAAGGTCATAGTATAACAATCCATCCATCGCAATCATTCTGAGATGAACCTTGGATAAACCATCAGGTATGCCGAAATCTATACATTTATCCTACCCCTCCTCACCTCCGACCAGTCACAGTTCCCCTGGTACAGTTTGAAAGCTGAGCTCATCCGCTGCAACACCTCATCCTCAAATGGCACTGGCAGAGGAGATCGTCGAAGTCGTCACTGGTCTGCGATACTTTTCTGGTGGGATCCCCGCTGAGTATCTACTTGCCCATTTCTCACAGTGCCATGTCCACAGCTTTCTCTTTTACTGTGGTCTTTTACGACTACGTCATCACCATCGACGATGAGGTGAACGCAATCTGGAACAACCCTAGCGTGCGCTGGCATTCCAAAGCAGTTTTCGTTGCCAATCGATATGTCACCGCGGCCATACTCGCATTGGCTATCTATCGTGAGTCTAATATTCCGAGAAGTGAATATAGCACTCACTGGCCAACGGCCCGTTGCAAGTTTTCAGCGGGACGGCTACGAGCTTGAATAATACAGTGAGTTTCAACTTGTCCATGCCGGGGAAAGACTCTAGTAACGGTCCTCAGGCGTCAGTGAAATAGGTATCCACGAATTTAAACTGACACAAAATGTGCCAGCTGTCAGCAGTTCATCTGGATATACGGAATAACATGCATCGCCATGAGCTGGATATCACACTGTAAAGCTTTGGCGCCCCATCACGCTGCAGAATACGAGGCTAACGGTGCTCTCTAGTCGTTATTATTATCCGTATATATCGCCTCTGGGATCGCAAGGCCAGTGTAGCTCGGACTCTGGCAGCAATATTTATGGTCTTCATTTCAACGACTATCATTCTCGGCGTGTTCACTGTGCTTCGACTAGAGCGCAAGTACAATTTTTTGGTGCGTTGGGATAACTTGCTGATATATATTCCAGCGAAATATTTTGCGCCCCTTCATACGTGTCTCTTTGGAGTCAAGCCGGTGTTTCTAGTCACGCTACTGGGTGTTGGGTATTGCTCAATTATATCCGTTCGATGATTCTGTATCTGAAATTGCTCACAGTCATCCTTTGACTTCGTCCTTCTTCTTTTGTCGTGTTCAACGCCATGG